TAAAAGGTATTTGAAGACCATTAGGGTAAGGTAGGTTAGGTTTGGATACAGTTTGATAAGTTCACAAGTAAAAGAAATGGCTGTCACTTCAAACAAAAACAGCTCATACAAAAGAACTCAACATATAGTTGTTTCTGAATTAGATCTTTAGGTAAAACTGATGGCTATTTTTACTTTCATTTACTGTATTCCGTCATTCTATTTCTTCTTTTCTCTTAAATTAAGTGATTCTGGATGTATATGTAAGATTTTGATCATTGTTCTGTAAGTACAGTATGCACATAGCATTTGTTTCAATTTAAGAACGTCCTCGGGAACGGAACCCGTTCATAACTCGGGGACTGCTTGTACTATACAATTAAAAAAGTTATTAAATGTTGAGAAACACCCTTATCTGTCAACTATACTTTTTTTTTATGGGGATTAACCCACCCGGGCATAGGTTACTGACCCACATAGGGGCCTGGTGGGCGAAAATGTAATAATAATAATAATAATAATAATAATAATAATAATAATAATAATAATAATAATAATAATTCATAGTACATACATAAAATTTATACTGTAATACAAAATTGAAAATTAAATACTTAAATAATAATTAAAATAATAATAATAACACTGTAGTAATAATAATAATAATAATATTAAAGACCCATAAAGAAATACAAAAATGAAAAAAGATCAAAAGTGAGAAACAATGTATGTATGTTGTGTTGTCAATGTAGTCAGAGAAACAATTGAGACCCTCCAATTGTGCGTAAATGAGGCAGAAAGTCAGATCAGCAATCTGGAACTTGGATGTATGATTTCTCAGGAAGACAATCACGATAAAATATGAAATACTGTACTGTATTAAGTTACAACTTCTGAGGTAGATAAGGGCTATTCTCTGAGAGGGAATTAGAGTACTTTTTTTTTCAATGCCAAGTTTCTAAAATAGGTGCACAAGATTGGTAAGTATTACTCTAGAAGGTCTGGGGGCTTACTTAATTTGTCATCAACACATTAGTACTGGTAATGTAATTGTATTCAAGACGTAGCAAATACTGAGAGCAATAAAAAATTTTAAACTTTCTTTTGACATCATAAAGGTCAAAGTATTCTGTACATGGCACAGCTTAATGCTTAAAAATATGACAATTTAAAAAAAAAATAATGTAACTGGTCCTTCCTTCTTTCTAAATCTCAAATCTTTAGGAATTATCTCATAAATGGGAAAGACAAGCAGGTAGTTCTTGAAACCAAGGGTATGACCAATGCAACAAAAATTATTGGAAATGAAGAAACAAATGTCCAGATATCAAGACCTTCACCATCTTTCAGGACTTGGGATTTTGAACAGAAAAACAAACTAACATATTTCAGCGGCATACTGACTACAGATACCAGCAGCGCAGGTAAGACTCAAATACCCTGAACAACGAAGAAGATGCTCACAATAAGATAGAATGCCTAAAGGGTGATAGAAAAACACAAATCTGTGAGTGTGACTGGTGAGCAGTGTAAACGAAATGTGATTTTTATATCAAGGAAGTGAATAGGAGCAAGAAAGAAGTGAATAGGAGCAAGAAAGTAAAGAATAACATGACAAAAAATCCCACACAAAATTCTCTGCATTAAAACAACAGTCTAGGATAATCTCTCCTACACACCACAGTATATTTACCACACATCCCTGTACATTCACCACCACAATATCATACACACAACCCCTTGATCTGTCCACTGCCTCCACATTGACCTCGTCTTACACCTGATCCTCCCACCTACAGGTACTTCATATACAACACATTTTACCAACACTCTGACCCATATCTGGTCTTGCTAGAGAAATGTCCACCTCAGCAATTCAAATTTTACCTTATCAAATAATTTATACAATGCCAATCTTCCATGAACTACAATGTTACTTGTTTTAAACACTTTTCAAGTTCCTTTTCTTGTAAAATCCAAACACAAATACTCGTTGTCAACGGCTAGTGCAGTACATCACCCTAACAAAAAATATGTATTATCTACACCATAATATTATAACATTTTAAATGAGAGAAAAAGTTTACTCTTGGTATATTACATAATACAAACAAAAGAATGTTAAGTGAGGTATGAGTCAGATACATCAACATCACTTGTCTGACAGGACTGGGCTGCTGCTGGTAGGACATTATGGGGAAAGGACTGAATAATTTAGACATCATGTCGAAAAATTTTGGATATATTTGTCAAGCTCTAGGAGGAATATATCACAACGTGGGACTCCTCTGTTTGCATAGGAAAGGAACATTATTGATCAGCTATGAAAAGAACAAGAACTAAAGATATGGTTAAACAAATTCATGAATATATCTGATCATACTATAAGATTACAATTATTGCTGTATGGAATATGTTGAATTAAGTTTTGGATAGATAACTGTAAACTTGCCATCTGAGGAGCAAGGAAAACAGTGGTGAGGTTAAGGCAAGGCACACCACAATACAGTCACACAAAACCACCAAGCTAAACCATATTAATTAACCCCTCTCACTACAGAGCCAACTATTTGTATGACAATATAAATTACTGTTAATTTGGGTTGTTAATACATGCAGTGCTCAAGGGGTTAACTGGTGATGGAATGTATATAAAGAATTTGTAATCTGGATAATAGATATTATTTCAACAGAACACTTTGTAGGGCAGTGGTTCACTTAGGTATTTTATTCTGGCTAATGCAAGACGATTTTATTCAGCTGATAGAAACCCTCTGCCCTACAAAGTGTTAAGTGGGGCCACTGTGTTTTAGGTGGGGTTGTATTCCCTGTTTTAGTGTATAGTGTCTTAACATCCTATGCTTTCAGTCTTAAGTAGGACTCTGAAGTACTCACACAAAATAAAGTACTTTTTTTTATCAAGTTTATGGCTTGGCAGTTTATACCTCAGTTATAATATTACTTGCATGTTAAGTGCAGACAGAGGGTCTAATAAAGAAGTCTGTTATCATCCCTATAAACTAATAGCAAAGTTGTACATCTCAATGGTAGAAATTTTTTTGAAAAGTACATCCAAATTACAAAAATATTCATACTGAGGCTGCATTCTGATACAGAAGTTCATCAAGTGCCAATTCATTCTTAATCAAACTTGAAAGACAATTTAAACCTAATTACAAACCCATGTTTCTCTATTAAATTATTGTATAATAATGTGACCAATGAAAAAACTTAACAACACATAAACTATTATCTCCTGGCTTCCCTTAAAGTACCAAAGCTTATACAATATTTGTTAAAAATAAATTCATCAAGCCAATATTCACACAAAAAGGAAAATCCAATCCTCTCAGGACTGGCAGATAGAGGACAATGCAAAGCTTGTTACAGATGTTGTCTCTGTTGAGCCTTCATACACACACCTCAGTACAACAACAGGAACTACTGGCAAATGATACATACTGTACAACCATAAATGTAAACAATGATCAAGAACTCTTTGATTTCATAAGGCAAAGATATGCTGGAAATTTCTATTTTGCAAGTAAATTTTTATGTGTATTCTCCACATATGATAAGAGTGCAGGTGAGGTGTCCCTCCTGATATTTCTATTCAAATAAGATGTACATAAATGAACCGTATGGCTGTCTTAACTTCCCACTGAAAATGAGATCAAATAAAAGTAAAGGTACAAGCATGTCACCGGGAATTTGAGCTTCACTAACATCTTGATACTTTCCCCACTACAGTATATGGGTGTCAACCTTCCTTCTCCTGAGGAGCCTCAGCATGGCACTGTCACTAGTTCTGACCAAAATGATACAGCACAAACATATCCAAGTGCACCTGACTGGCCCCAAGATGAAATCTAAATCCCATGGGCACTAAAAACTGTTGAAAAACAAAATTAAGGAAACAAAGGCTGAAGGGAGAAAATCCACAGCATATTGCATAGTACTGTATATACAGTACAGTACAGTACTTAAAATACTCAAATTAATGCAAGACTTTCATAATTTCTGTATTTTGGGAGGGAATTGGTAGGATTCAAGGGGTACTTTTTAAGACTGGCTGGGAGTCTGGAAGCTATTGCCTTACATTTCAGGTGTTTTGAACCACAAGCTTAAGTGAAGAAAAAGTACCGAGTACAGTACTGGTGGATACTGAAAGCTCTATTACAGTACTGTACAGTAAAACCTTAAGAATATATCTCATATCTACTCCAACAATGTCAAAAGAAAAAATAATACCCTGGAAACAAGACTGACAGTTTCACTCTAAGTACATCAACATAATACCAATAGTCCAATGTATTAAATAATAATTACAAACTCCAAAGTATTGACAAAGTAAGCAATGTTCGTATTAAGAACAAACAAAAACTTCAGTAAATCATAAAAAAAGGAATATAAGTTGCTTGCAAAATGGAAGCTTTTCTAAAGTGACAGTATAGAGTAAGACCATTTTGAAGAAGTATATTTCCTGGTCAGCATGCCATGATTCATGATACTAACAGTTGTGAATATTATGGATGGATTTCTATTCATTTCTTTAACTGGTATGTAATCTAAACTGCAACTACTTATCAAAGACACATTTTTGGGTATTTTCACAAGGCCATCAAGAATGGGAGATACTGTATACAGTACAGTATTGCAAAGCCAATGATACTAGTTACTCTGACAAAACCTGTGACAGCACATGAACGACTTTAAATATTTGGCACAGTGCTGTTCTAATATCTAATGTTGTAATGTGAAATCACGAGAAACAAACTAAACTTTCCTTGTTAACCAAATTCTTGCTTATTTCCTCTTTTCAACGTCACCATAACCATCTTCCCTTTGTAGTAAATGCATTGCTGGAATCAAGATCACTTACAAATTTCAGCAAAATTTAAAACATATTTGCATTTATTCTGTATTTAAGTACAGTACTTCCTTTTTTCTGAAAAATGTCCAACGTTTTATATTTTGTGCAGTCACTAGATGTTACAATGTTAAACAAAGGCATCACTCACCTTCACTAGTCAGTAAAGATAATGTCCTTTCTGTGCCACATAACTTATAAAGTAGGCATAACTCGTGAAAAAGAGAAGAGGATGTATAGAGCAGTCTGGGATATACCACATATCATGGCATGAATTGGTTGTAAAGAAATCTTGGCCTGGTACAGTACAAATCCAACGGCGGCACTGGTAGCTGCACACATCACAAAAGTAGTGCACATGCCGATAAGTAATATACATGCAGCGGAAAACCTGTGGATATAGACAAATTCTTTAGTCTTTTGTACTACAATTTGAGAGAGAGATGTAAAGTTCAATTTATAATACCTAAAACAACTTGTAGATTTCTTTAAGTTTTCTTAGTGGGTGTCCAACAAAGACTGTGTGAAGCTGTGCAAGAACCAACATACAGTACTTGAAGCCAACTCGACATGGATAACTTACTGAAATATACACGACACAAGTAAGGCCAATGCTATTCTTAAAGTAAATTATTTCCTTGCTGCCACTGAGGAAGATTTCATAGATCACTTCATCGCACTGATGAGTTGCCCCCCCCTCAGCTTGTCACCCTAAGATCAACCACCTTAACATTAACCGAACCAACCTAACCCCATAGGCCTAGGTAGCATTAGGGTGCTTAATTATCAGGTGAAGTATGCTCGAGTCTAATCTTCATGTGATCTGATTTTTTATGCCTGAGCAGGAAACATCATCCATACTTGTCATGCCGTGATAAAAATTGTCCTGACTGTTGCTGATTCTCTCTAACTCTTTGGCTTTGTCGGCCTTAGCACACGTGTTCTTACTTAAACTTTGGATCACATGAAGATTAGACACCTCAGTTTATTTCACCTGAATATTAATCCTGTTAATGCAACTCGGAGAGTTAAGTTAGGTTTGTTGATCTTCAAGTAAAATAAGCTGGAATGGTTAGTTTTCAGATGATCTTAAACTTCAAACAGTCAATATTAAGAAAGATACATCCTATTATACAGCAGAAAACACCATCAAATATTGTACATAACTTTCCTGAAACAAGTCATCATGTAGAAAGTTTTAACAGACTGTAGATTCTCCTCAACATGTTTGAGATACAGTATTGTACAGGCAAGGTTGAACATGAATCATCTTTGATCCAATTAACAAGGTAAAACAAAAATCACCAGGAATGGACAAAATATAGCACAGTACCAGTATGTGAAGACAATATTGAGTCAATAATAGAAGGCTGACTGTTATTATCAACTGGGAGGGAGCCAATATTACTCCAGGGTCATAATTGTGATGTACAGTATATCAAGCTACAAAGTAGAGCACATTTTATATGACATCAAGATAGCATTTATTTTATTCTAAGAAAGTGAACCACACACATGTACATCTTCCTAACCTTATGTCTGGCTCATGCAACTTGTGTGCTGTATTATCTAATTAACTCGACTGTATCAAAACTCCAGGTAAACCCGAGTGTGGTAGAAACAGGATTGTTAGAAACAAAATTTTCCCTCAGGGTAGAAGCCAATATTTGTTTAATTCATTATATCACTTTGTGGGACTGACCTGACCTTCATTGTATTAAAGGCTGAATAAATTTTTGCAGTAAGTAATTCAGCCAGTCAACAAGTTTTAAAGGGCGTTACCCAATATACTTTTGCTGCTCACTTGTGTACTGTACCAATAAGAAGAGTGTGGATAACAGCACCACTTTCCAAAGCCTGGTTTGTGAGGATGTGGCATACTTTCCTGACTCTTAACCTCAGTTTAAAAGCCTTACTTCTTCTTGATACAGCTCTTAGTCACCCGATGCACCTAAATGACTTGTACCCTAATACTGTTTGAGTCATGTTTGTGCTGCACAACACTACTTCATTCAGCCGATGGATCAGGGAATGATAGCAACATTTCAAATGTATCACATATTTGATGAAGTCTACTGCTGGTAACTCCTCATGTAGAAAACAATAGAATATACTGGTGAGTACAGTACAGTACATGTACAGTACTGTATACTCATTTATTATGCTCATTCAATAAAGTACCCTTTATTGTATTTAGTTCTTAATTGTTATTAGTGTATGCAAGAAAACTTAATACTACCCTGACAGGTAAGTAGGTAGTAAGCAGCTACCAAACAGGGAGGTACTATTGCTTGGGAAGATATTGGAAGCATAATGTGTTGTCTAATGGTAGACCCTGCTGCCATATGACATCACGAAAATGGTGACCAAGTCCCAGGTTGCTGATCTGACTTCTGCCTCATTTATACACAACAGTATTGTGTTTCTCAGTTTCGATTTTTTTCATTTTTGCATTTCTTTATGGTTCTTTATTATTATTATTATTATTATTATTATTATTATTATTATTATTATTATTATTATCATCATGATTATTATTACATTTTCGCCCCCCAGGCCCAGATGTGGGTCAGTGACTTGTGCCCGGGTGGGTTAATCCCCGTAAAAAAAAAAAAAATACTGAAATCATCCTCAAGAGGGATTTTGGCTATGACTGAGAATATTACCCTCCTCTTACTATGGAAACTTGCTTTAGTTTATACTAATTTCACTCATATCTGTACTGGCTGCTCCTTTGTATACTGTATTGGGGGATACTTGTACTGGCTTTTCTAGTAGCACAACTCCTGGTATAAATGATGGCAACTTGTAGATATACTGCAATCAATTTAAAACTGAAGCCAAATATTACATCTTACCTTCCATATTTATGTCGTCTCAGCATCAAAAATGCGATGATGGCCGACACAACATGGATAAACAACAAGGAGAAGAACCCCCAGAGGAATATTCTTTGCCATAACTCGGGGAAAGATTCTAGTGTCTCGCTATAAAATTTTTCTTCATACGCATATGCATATGACGATGTCTCACGCTGGGTGCTGTAAGCGACGGCAGCCTTCACAGGGCCCCAAATTACTAGTGTTGTGATGGCCTTCAAGAGTACCACACCTGAACACCATCCCTTATGGTGCATTTTCCTCTTCATACATTCTAGCATCTGAAAACAACAAGATACAAGTAGAAGACACAAGAAAAAAGGCCACAAAACATACAGCCTTAAACTGAAGTAAACCTTGGTATATTCACATTATATCTTGGATACTCAAGTTGTGAAGTTTAATTGTTCAGAGTTTGTGAGTCACTACAACTATAGCGACTCACATCTGCTTAATCCTACTAATACTACATACTGTATCAAAATTGTTCCTCATATGTTCGTAAGTTACAACTTCTTATACTATTAAATGGGAGGGTTTATAAATATAAGGAAAATGGAAAAAAATGGTAATTACAACTAATCAATCTTCTACCCAATTTAAATACTGTGCTGTATAACATTACACATAAGTACTTTATACAAAATGCCTTATCACTGATGTATCACTCCCCTGCGGAACTTCCCTATGAGAGGGGTGGCCACAAGAGAACCTTTAGGTTGCCTTGCCATTAACACTACTACACAATGATATCTCTAATGCTGCTGGCTGGTACAACACGAGGGTTCATCAATCAGTTTGAGCTTCATTTTAGGAACTGGAAAGATGTGGTTTGCTCTGCTAAGGTTATACTTGGTCTGGCAAGATTTACTACCCTAACCAATCACTAAACTAATCCAGAAAATCTGAATGGAGGATCTTCATGTGCACCAGTAGATGTATTACACCACAACACTCAGGGGAATCAACACATGAACTTTTAACTACTGTACTGTATCATGAAGTGATATGGCTGGAAATAAAACAACCAGCCCAGGCAAATTTAAATTGACTATTTCAACAACAAATTGGCACCAATTGACAAGTCTGCAACAAGTAGTTAGTAAGTTTCTGGATGATCAAGTGTGTGAGTAAAAAGGACACTGTAGTAAAGAAACTTAAAATTTCTAAACTATACAAAAAAAAATACTTATCACCTCAATGACAGAGATAAAATGCTGAAATAAGAATGCCAGCCACAACAGTAGAGGATCACAGTACTGTACTGCACATCTTACTAACATAGTTATGGACTTTCCCTGAGAAGTTGTTGATGTCCAACTAAGTTAGGTGGCTGTACAAGCAACACCTACCAGTGATGACAATCTTGCATGTCATGTCTGAAATCTTGCACCAGCCAAAGAGGAAGACACCCTAACCCAACCTACCTGGTCTTAAGTTTATATATAGTACAACCAAAGTAGACTGTGAAGGTGAGATGTTACTCCCACATTGTAATTATTCAGAAATCTTGTAACAGCTCCTGAAGAGTGACACCAGCCACCAAGGTGTAGTACCGGTAGATACTGAGTGAGGCCCAGGGTTTACATCACCCATGGCATGACTAATCAAGCTCTAAGACCATCACCAGAAGTGCACAATCACTCTACCACCTATTTGTATACAAATTTTTGCAGCTGACTTGACAGAAATATATAGTTGTAATATACCAATATGCCTTATAAAATGAAACGGTCTGTTATCCTATAAAATAAAATACTTAGTAATTTTTCATATATCACAGACTATATATTAAATCATATAATATTAATGACTGAGTAATATCATTATGACTGGATAGTTTTGGAATAAGATCTTTGAACATGATTGACCAGATAACCAATCATATTTGAGTTGATTATTGCTTTTATATTTGTATTTCCACACTAGAAGGAATTAACTTTATGGGTCTTTAAATTACTGAACATATACATATAAAAAATGTACAGTATTCCCTAAACATGAGGAGTGAGGCCCTACCTGGTATTTTAAATTAATTTTGCATTTCAGGAATTATGGCAGATCTTCCCTTATCTGTTACCCAGTTAGGATCATCTGACAATTAGCCCCAGATTTTAAGTCATAATACAACTGCTCCATACATACTCATGAATAATATGCCACTTAGATGATTCCCAAATTATAGTGTACAGTATATATGAATTAACCTAACCTAACCTCATTGTCAAAGTGGGATGACAAAAATAACATAAAACAGATGATCGTCCAGATTGAAATTATTCAGGTGGAATTGTTGGATGATACCCGCTAGTGTTAAAAAATAAATAAAAAATAAAAAATTCAGGAGGTCTGGTTCATCTTACTCAAGGTTAGGCTATCAATGATGGAGTATTAGAACAGCATTTCTTCACGCTACATGCTGTGGTGCAAGCATGGGCAACCTGCAGCCTGGGTCACATTTTTGTGTGGCCCTTGGAGTGATTGAGAAATTCCACTTAATGTGGCCCACAATTCAGGTAGATGCAGCCAGCTTATGGCGAGTAAAGCAATACAAACTATTGTATATTAAAATAAATAATCTTGACACACAATTCATGATTGTTCCATCACCAAAGACTAAGGAAGACCTTTTCTCAGAAGTAAAATCAGCATATGAGCACTTCTAACTGAAATAGGGGCAAAGGCTGGCCTTGTTGAGCAGATTAAAGCAGAGATGTCTGATTGCAACTTGGATCCTGAAAAACTGACTATATTTAATTGTACCATCCATCAAGAGACTCTCTGTTCCAAGACATTTAATTTTAAGCAAATTATTGATCTTGTCATTAATTGCATGAATTTTATCAAACCTCTGACTTTGAATCAAATATGAGGTGTCTACCTTCATGGAAATGAAAGGTAAGTCAGTGCTGGAATTATATGATAATGATTGGCTGGCTGATTTAGCATTCCTCGTCAACATTATGACACATCTCAATGACTTAACATCAAGTTACAGAAAAGAGGTCAACCGATTCACGGGTCATACAGCCACATCAAATATTTTCAAAACAAAATGCGATTGTGGCAGACACAACTTTGAAGAAATGACACCTCACACTTTCCTACTCTCCTCAAAGCTTGTGGAAAAGAAACCTCTGGGAAAGGTAATCAATTTGCGAGAAAACTTTATGGTTTGACCCAGGAATTCCCATCCTGTTTCAAAGAATTAAAAAATAAAGAAACCAGCCTGAACATCTTTCTCCACACCATTTCACGTTAATGACGCTCCAATTCATCTACAGCTGGAGCTGATTGAAGCTCAGGAGGACCTGGAACTCAAGGTTAAATTCCAAGCTGTTGCAGTTCATGACTTCTACAGGATATATTTATGTAAACAGTTTTTCTCATGCTTGAAGTTTATAAAACTTAATCACAGATCCATACGAGCATCAGGAGTGTTACCTCAAGGTTGTATCACATTCCTCCAAATTTTGAATGGCTATGTAGAAGCATCCAAACCCAGGAGTCCCACTACCTATGACTGGTAGTACAGTCATATTGCTGACTATAAAATGTTGGACAAAATTGAAACAGTGTCAATAGTAAATTAAGTCCTGATATCTTACTACAGTATCTGAAACCCTGACTGGTTGATTATATATGGTGTATATGTCGTCATTAATTTATGAGTGTCTCACAAAATAGAAAATATTGTAGCTGTAAAATAAAATGATTTGCACCAAGATGTCCTATTAATTCCAACCTTGATTGTTATAATGTCACATGCAGAATTTTATTATTTTCTGTATTAGAGCAGCTGAAGTTGAAATACATTGTGAATGTACGTAAATGTAAAAATAAATAGATGTGCCTATAAAGGGTTTCACTCTACTTCCTCATGCACCAAGATTAACACTGACACTATTCTGGTAGGTGTGTCTCATAATTAAGAAAAATACTGTAATTGTTGAAAAAAAAAAAGACAAATTCACAGATTGCTTCACTCCTCATTTGTTAAATGCCAAGAAACATTAACAATTTACTTAAAAAATTATTAAGGTGGATTTGTTTCATCAATGGGAAAAAGAGTGACTGTAAACTGAAAATATTATACGGGGAACATGATGATAAACTGTTTCACTGTCCGTGCTAATACAGCATTAACATTACATTTAGGTTAGGTAAGATATAAATGTTGGTGGGTCGGCCTGCGGAAAAATACCTAAATCAAAATGTTGCCCACAACTGAGGAAAGGTTGCCCATGCCTGCTGTAGTGAGTAAACAAAAACCATTACCGTACTTACTGTAACTCTACTTGATATTAGAAAGAACAGACAATGAGTGCTCAGGCAACTGATTAGTGGTTCATTCACTGACGTGTTTGTTTTTAATAGGCTAGTTGAAGTGTGAGTAACTACTTGAAGATAGAGCTCACTTGCCAGGTAAGTGTGTTAACGATCTAGCTGCCAGAAACATCACCACAGAATAATGAATACAAGGAGAAGAAACAAATCTACTTCAAGATAATGAATAATTAATAAATATTATATTTCTTTCAATAATACACTCTTAACTTAGCTAGTTCAACATCCAATAAGCACCAAAGAGGATATTTCCAGTACAGTACTCAGTTGAGTGTTCATACCTGGAACTAGCAGATAACTGCCCCACTAGGGGTCACAACATCAGGTTGAAGAAGCCACAAGTTCAGAAAATTGTCAGGGCAAACATTTTTTGGAGTGAGTGTTGTGATGGCACCGAATGTGAGCTCTTTCAAGACCAGACTTGACCAACACTGGAGCAGGTAGATACATTCTGGAGTCAGTACACGCCCAGTACTAGTCAAAAGTGCCTAACATAGACGTGACTGACCACCCAAATGGCTAGCGAGCCGATCAGTGGCGAAGAGGATAAAGTAAAGACTTTTTTCCCGTAATGGATATAAGTATGGCAGCTGTATTGATGGACTGCATTTTTGAAGGTTAGGTTAGATTAGGTTAGTCAGAAAGGCCATCTTGGTAACTATCATTGTATAGTCTGCCCACCACACATGCATATCAGGTTGCCATACCAATAAACAATGACGTTTCACATACAGCTGCCCTACCTGTATACCTGGCCTATTTCCCATAGTGTCCTTATTTTTAGCCATATTTGTTAATAAATTTCAGGTAAAATTATAGTTTTGGTCATCCCTGTAATTAGATATCCAAACTAATCTAACCTAACCTAATATTTTATTCATAACAGCATCAATGGCATAGAGACTATGGCCTAATGGTAAAATTGCAGATTACAGCAACCCAAAAAATCTGATAAAAAAATGTTACCTAACCTAATGTAATGTAAGAAAATTATCATAGAAAAAATAGTTCTATCGATTGAGTGTAATGAATTTCCGGAATTCCGTGGTTGCTGTTTACTGCAATATTACCTGCCTAATTATTGTTCCTAAAGTAATTTTATAATCATAATATCTCTGCTTGAACAAACAAATGTTAGTGAAAATCTCGTAAGTAAGAAACCTTCAAACAGTCCACGGAATCATGAGGCTCATTAAAATAAGAGTCTCACCATTGGGGACACACGAGACTGGTCATCACTGACACACAGTTAACAACGTTTGTGAAAATAATAAAAAAATCACGGGAAGTCTCCAGTGCTCTTCCTGACTCACTGTCTCCATGACTGCTCATGTCAGGTAAGATCTGGGGTTCTGATGAAGTTCCCGAGTGGCCCACACATACCTAAGTACAACCACTGTGTGGCTGGGTGGAGGGAGTCATGTATAACAGTGTAAGTGGACCTTATTATAATGCGGGTGTTAGAGTTCCACCTCACCTACTGGCAAGATGGATAGTGTTAGGAATACGACACGAACGGGACAATCAAACTATTTACCTCTCAGGAGACACGAGCCAATGAAGTCTATAAATTTTTAATTAAAAATACACTGTTGAATTTAAGTTAGTTTTTATAAAGTTATAATATGTTTATATTGTCTATATACAGAGAAGTAATTATCCTTTAGTGTTCTTGTTCGTGGTATAATCTTAACACAAAATTTCTTGCCATCTCCTGCTTGTCAATAAACAAACATTGTTGCCAGCATGATAAAAACCAAGACATGAATTAATGAAATATTCTTATTACCAAAGCTACTCATCTTACTGCAATTACGTGAAACGGTGAGAAACGTGATAAAAATATCAATTATTTTAAGTGTTTTAGATACCAAAGACGAATCTTCATCTTGTTAAACGCATGCGGACTCCGTTATTTTACCGTTTATTTTCTTCATTAAATATATTTATTTGACATTTTAGCAGTAATTAGTTTTCTGGACCTGCGGTTTCTTCAATCTTGCGTCCTCCAGCTCCAAGTAAGGGCACTCGACTGAGTAGTGCCCCTTGAGATGTTTATACACCTCAATTAGGTCGCCCCTTGCCCGTCTGTAGTATAAGCTAGGCAAGTTCAAGCGCTCCAATCTCTCAGGGTAGTTGAGGTGCTGAAGTACAGGTGTAATGACCACGGTCGTGCATGTTAGTTAACGTAAAAGCAGACGATTCATATTACGCTCAATAGCCCAAAAAACATGTAGATATGCCTTCTTTATTGAGTCTCCCATCTGAGGCGTCCGTTTTCTCATCACTTCAGGAAGTCTGAGTCCTCCGTTTTCTCTCAATTTTAGAGTGCAACCGAGACTTCGTTATTCCTTAGTATAACGACACAAAATTTAAAATTGCAACTATGGTGGTGTATGTTAAGGCAACTTAGATATGTCTGATTATATTTGGAACATTCAAGATCAATTGTGAGTGATGTTGAAAGCTTCAACTGTCTTTATTGTTAGTAAAACTAGTCAAGTAAGTGAGTGTCGAGTCTGCCAGTACGAGTGGCATGTCCTCATATCATCCTTGGGCATAGCCAGGAGTTTCTAAGTACTACTGAAATTAGACCATTTTGATGCCCAAACATCAGAGAATCTGATGTTTGTAGTTTAGTTAGTGTTAGTTGTCTATTTAAGAAAGTCATTAATCTCCTGAAAAGATTCTGTCAAACTCAAAATCTCCAAGACCTAACGACTTCTCAGGAAGAATTCCTTGGCTGTGGTTTGCGGTTTCCGGGAAAGTAGAGTTGTCAGTGTGTGTATTTAACGCCCATTTCACTTTTTCCTGACAAACTCAATCTCTAATTAGATTATAAAAATAGACATAAGAAATTCACCTGACCCATGACAATGATTTTCATAGTTGAATGTACAGCGACTGAGTTGAAGAGAATTTCTGTCGTTGGTGAGATTAGTCTTTCTTGTATGCATGTATAGGCCGGAACTGCCCGAGACACGCATATAAACGAATGCACGAGGAAGACTCACACGCTCGTGACTCTTCCTCAACGCATCTCCAGGTATGTGAACGATTGTTTCCCGCCGACATGTTAAGTCAGTTTAACTCAGTCGAATTTTGTGAATATCAGTGTTCATGTTTTAACATAGTGAAATAATCATGTGCCAAGTAATTCAAGTAAAGTAAGTGTCGTCTGTATTGTTGTCAGACGTATAGTCATGTGTAGATGAGTTAAGTGACTCTTCCTCAACGCATCTCCAGGCACTGTCTGTGTTGGCACCACTACTGAGGTTCGATAGCCGCCTATGGGCAAGATGGTCCTTGAAGGATGCCTTTAATATAGCGAGAAGAGAATCTGAGGACGGGAACATTCAGGGAACACCGTGAGAAGACACTGCACCGAGTCTACCCCCGGGGACTGCTGGCGAACGAGCTTCGGCTGTGTGTGTAGTAAACAACCCCGTGCCCAGTGGACTCAGTCTTGTCTGGTTCATTGATCTTGGTTATATGTATTGAACAGTATTGGTATCCATGATTGGGGATAATTAGCAGAAATATAGTTATCCCAGGTTGAGTATTGAACCCATGAATGATGGTGTTATCAGTGGTGACGTTGTTATAGGGGTTGTGAGTCCACCATCCATGTGTACAACCAACTGAGTTCTAGCTAAAGTGCCATGTTGTACATTCCAAAATAACATGATGTGTTAAATAATATCTTAATTCTGGATATTGTCGAGTGTGTCATATAATCATCTGTATTGACAAAGAAATAAAATAATGAGTGTGTCATGTTGTAACCAAGAAATGAAGATCTATTTTGCTATGGGTAAAGTAAGGCCTAAGCGGCCCAGTCTTGTCTGAGTGTACTTAATTAATATAGTGTTTACTCCTTATGTTAATAAATATTGAATTAGTAAACAACGAGTATCACCGCTCTATCCCTTCTACCCGTTGGTTCTCAGAAAGTAACTATTGTAACTCACGTGCCAAGAAGCTCGCTAACACGCTACCTCACATTCCAATGAGATATGTTATATTCTAATAAAAGTCTGGGTGGTGGCAGGCTACCGTGGTAAGTACAATAAGTGTTATAGTAAGGTTAACATGGTTTTCCCAGACTGATCCATGGTATAGAATATGACTAAAGCAGGATATAACTGAGAGAAAGTAAGGACATAAAATTCAGAAAATGCAATAAGATATATGATAGAAGGAATAAAGTATAGAAAAGAAGAATAAATTATAGAAAAGAAGAATAAATGCGAAATATGAAATAAAGAAAAAACAGACCCTTACACAGGCACCAGTCTGGTGGCTCTACTTTGAACATTTTCAAGCAACTGACAGTCGCTAGCATATCTCGGGGACCAGACGGGGTGACAGTACTCCAGATGGGGAAACACTTCACTTTTGAAGATCGTTACGAGGGACAGACCGTCTAGGTATCTGAATGACCTTCTTATTAAACCCAATAATTTATTTGCCTGATTTACCTTCTACTCGCAATTGCCCGAGAACTTCAGCTCATTGTCAACATACATACCTAGGTCCTCCTCACATTCAGTCTCAAATAATACAGTTTGTTCATCCCGTTGGGACATATGATACGCCTCCTTACCGTTGGTACACCCCAGGTGCATCCTGTTACACTTTGTGACATTGAATCTCAGCAGCCATTTCTTCGACCATTCTTGGAGCTCACAGAGATCCTTCTGCAGCTCTTCACAGTCCGCTTGGTTCTTGATTTCCCGGAATAACTTGGCATCAGCGACAAACATTTGTATGGAGCAGTGTACAACGTCAGGCATGTCATTTATGAAACAAACAAACAACAGCGGGACCCATACACTGCCCTGTAGTACCCCGCTTGTGACAGGTACAGATGATGATTTCGTGCCATTAATCACCACACACTGCTTGCGGTCATGTAGAAAGTCTTCTATCCATGCGAGGACATTCCCCGAATTTCGTACCCTTCCAGTTTGATTTTCAGCCTTTCGTGGGGTACACTGTCGAAAGCCTTGGCAAAATCTAGGTATATATTGTCGATATTACCACCCTGTTCCAGAATATGGGTCCAAATATCCAATACCTTGGGCAATTGTGTTAAGCAGGAGCGCCCCGGCATAAAACCATGTTGGCAATCCTTTACAAGGTTGTTTCGTAGTAGATGTTCCATTGTGCATCTCTGATAATACTCTCAAGTACTTTACATCTTATGCTTCTCAGGCTCACCGGTCTATAGTTGCTTGTGGAGTGACGATCGCCCTTCTTGAAGATAGGACTCACATAAGCCACTTTCCAATCATTGGGACCTTTTGTTCATCCAGGCATTTACAAAACAGGATCTTCAGGGGCTCGGCAAGCTCGTTGCACAACTCCTTTAGCACTCTGGGATGCACCACGTCAGGGCCGGGATTCTTATGGACCTATAGCATTGACAGTTTATTTCTAATACCCTCTTCTGTGAACACAATGTGGGTCAGTGCTGTGTCAAACCGTCTGTCCTCAAACGCAGGAAGGTTAATCGCATCCTCTCTTGTGAACACCGAGGAAAAGAAGCTGTTCAATGCCTCAGCTTTATCCTGGTCAGAATCTGCGTAACTAACATCTTCAAGCCTCAGGTCTGATACTCCTCGCTTTTTTAATTTCGATTTTGCAAAGCGGTAAAACGCCTTTGGGTTTGAATTAACCTCTCTTGCAACCAGCCTTTGGAACTCCTTTTCAGCCCTTCTACACTCTCCCTTTGCTTGGTTTCTGGCTCATCGTTTGACCCAACCCACATCTTTAATTTCTGGGCTTTCTTCTTAACTTTATCGACCGCTGCATGGCTCATGTGTAGGGATCCCCTCGTATTCCTAGGGGCACTGGGTTTGGTCTTGGGTATATATTTATCGATCAAATGGGTCTCTTTACTAGTTATGATATTCAGCGTAGTGTCTGCGCTCTTGTGCCTTAGTGAGTCAGGCCAGTGGATACCCCTCATCTCTTCCCTCATCCCGTTGTAATTTCCCTTGTAATATTTGCACCTTAGCCTGGCCTTATCTTGAACTAGATAACAGTTAAATCTGAATAACAACACTGTATGGTGACTGGTGCCAATTGGGGCAAGGTGTTCCATTTCGCCCACCATACCCTCCTCGTTTGTTATGATGAGGTCAAGTGGCTTGGGTGTTTGCTCCCCTCTGTAATGTGTCGGGTCTCTAACATGTTGGAAAAGAAATTATCTCTCAGAGTTTCTACAAAAAGAGTAGCAGGGTTTTTTAAGTCATTTGGGGTGGACTCGTTTCTCTAGTCGATGTCGCCATAGTTAAAGTCCTCCATGATAAGGAGGTGGCTAGGGTTGAGCATTGCCGCGTTGTTTATGAAGGCTCTTAAGTTCCTTTGATTTAGTGGGCCACAGTTTGGGGATCTGTAGATACACCTGACAATAAGTAAGTCCCCTCACTTTAATTTAATTTTACACCACTTGGACTCTTCAAAAACATCCTCTCC